ATTTTGTCGTAGGCTCTTGTCACTCCTCTATTTGAAAACTTCATCAGCCATGATAAGCAAATTCTGGCATTAGTTTTCTGTGGTTACAATAAAAGTGGCAATGCTTTTTTAAATGCAAGCTAAGCACTGGGATCTCTTGGATGCTGGAGCCAGGGGATTTGGAGAATGGGCTGAGTTAGGCAGGCTTAAACAGAGAGCTCACAGTGGTACCTGAGGGAGACCTCCCTCTTCTAAGGCTACATGGCTGGTGTACTCTGCTTCCTAATTGCAGAAAATTTCTGCTCCCAAACATAGCATTTGTAGAAGATTTTGCACTGGATATTCCCTCTGCCAGGACACTCTTCCCTAGATCTCCACAGGGCTCAATCCCTCACCCACTTCAAGTCTTTGCTCAAATATCTCCTTCCCAGTGAGGCCTGCTCCATCTACCCTATTTTACAGTGTCACCCATGTGTCAGTCTTATCTTGGCATTTCTGTTCTCCCTTACATTGGTCTATACTTTTATTTTTCTATCATACAATTTATTTATTAATTATGTTCACGATTTGTTACTTTTCTTTCCCCCAATTATAAACTCCATGAGAAAGGGGACTTCATCTATTTTGTCACTCACGTATTCAAAAAATGCCTAGCATTCTAACACAGAGAAGGCACTCAATGAATAGCTGTTGAATTGAAGTCCACTGTGGCACTTGGTCGTGCCAGGCTACCCACTTCCTCTCATCATTGTGCCCCTAGGCAGCTTGGGAGCCACAGGCTGATGCATTGGCACTGGGCTCCTCTGATGGCATCTGTGCAGGTGCTAATCCATGGCTCACAGTGTGGCTTTAGAGAGGCAGTGTTAAGCCCAGCAAAGAGCAGTGTCAGAACCCCGAAAACAGTGGGGCACAACCCTGCACTGCCAGGTATGAGTGGGATGAGAGTAGCTGAGTCATCTGGTTCCTGAGCCTTGTTCTGATCAACTAAAAAATGAGGATGATGCTTTCCTCTTTGGGCCAGATAAAATATCTGTGGGGATGAACATCTAGAATCTGGCAGAGAGCCTAGCACATAGTAGGTATGCAATATGCTAGTTGGTTGATTATGAGGAAAACATGAGATAATGTTTATAAACTTATGTATATTTAAAGCACCGGGTATAGAGCCTAGCATGTGGGAATCATACATTCATTCATACAACAAATATTGATTGAGTTCCTACTATGCGCTTGGCAAAGTACAATGATTGTAGGGATTGTTGTACAAGCTACCCATGTCCAGTCACTGCGATTGCCATGGGCAGTACGGAATCCTTCTGCATGAGGTGAAACAAGACCAAGAGGCAGTTGGGAAGAGGGCAGCATCTCTCATGACCCTGTCTGCCTCAGCATCCTTGGAGAATGTTGGACAGATGAATACCCAGACCTCTGGCCTTCCTGTTCCATTGTCCTGGGTGTCTAAAACAGCTCTGCTCTCCCAAGTCAGCCATGTAGGTGATAACTGAGGTCTATCCAGTTATCACCTCTCCCAGAGATGCCCTCTGTTACTGATGTCTATGTGGACTGGATACAGAAACCAAGCAAATTTAATAATAAGTCTATTCAATGCAGGCTGAGAGCTGAGGGCTAGAGTTCCTGGCATATCTGCTCACTGGTCCCAAGTGCTTGGGTTTGAGTGTAGGGAGAATGTCTGTCTGCTCATTCTTCCACAGTTCAAAAGTATGTTCTCTGAACTTTGTTCAATGAGTTGTGACTGCCAGGCATGTGAACAGTAGCAATGATGAAATCAAAATCAAACTGTCTCTGAGGGTTGGAAGTGATAAAATAAATTATTAATAGTAGTAGTAGCAACAGCACCTCATAAATATTCAGCACTTATCGTGTCCTAGCCATACACAAATTACTTCTATATATTACCTCTCACAACAATCCATTTAATTACATAGGTTATTTGCTCAATTTACAGATGAGAAAACTGAGGTTCAGGGAGGTTTAGTTTCTTGCCATGATTGCTCGGCTAACAAGTGCTGGAAGCGAGATTCACCCTAAGCAATTCAACTCCAGATGGCACTTGCAAAATCCTTTTGTGCTTGTGTGGCAAAGGGTCTCTTCCTGCCTCATGGTGCATCCAGCTGTGAAGCCTGAACAAGGCACCAAACCTCTCTGGATATGGTGCCTTGTTCATGTGCAAGAATGAGCAATGATGTCCTTTGTAGGAGTATCAGTCCTTCAGTTGTTTTGAGAGTTCATTAGTTTACGTTTGTAAAGCCCTCACACCCATACCTGCCACTGGCATGTGGTGAGAACCAAACAGTATTAGTAATTACAGATGTGATTAAATAGCCTGAGTCTAAGAGCTCTAGGCAGATCCCACTCTTTGTGAATGGCTGGAAAACATTCTTAAATGAGGATTTTGGCAGCTAAACTTTGGGAACCTCACACTTTCTGGAATACCCTACTGGTTGTCATTCTGAATTCCTTCCTGAACTTGGTAGGGCATGTGTGGACTCAGGAGGGCTACCCAAAACCCAAGCTCTATTGCTTACAAGCTGTGTGTGCTGGGCTGGTTATTCCACAGTCTGAGTCTCAGCTATACCCCTAGAAAAGAAAGGTAACCCTGGTACTCATACCACAGGGCTACTGTGAGGACTGCAGGACAAAATCCTCCGGACACTGGATACACATCCTGGCATAGAGCAAACACTTAATAAAAGGAGGGTGCTTCTATAAGCAAATTAATCATTATTCTTAGACTCATTATCATGCACAAGAAGAATAAATAAATTGATGTGCCTTTTCTTGCTCTGTGGTGGGTAGGGTACAGGGAATGATTTCAAACCTAAATCACCAAGGAGCCCATCCTCCTCCTTTGCTGCCTCTTTTTCCACAACAGCCCTCCAGACCCTGCCCTGGCCCAGGCAGGAGCCTACTTCTGCATGGCTGGTGTTTCCCAAAGGTGCCCCATGATACCCAAAACCGAGCCTGTAGTGAATAATGAAGGCTTTGTGCAGTTTCCCAGGAGCAAATTGAAGGGCTACACTCAATCCTTCCTGGAATCCAGGAGTGTATTTTCATGATACTGAGAAAGAAAAAAGCAGCCTTAAAAAAAGTTCCTTACTGGGAAAAGTACAGGGATATATGAGGAGCAAAGTATCTAAGAGACAGAAGGAAAAATATAATTCACTATGGATGACAGTAAGTCCTCTGGCAGCCTTGGAGCTGCAGCAACGCCAGGCCATTTCAGAAGAGCTGGCCTTGTAAGGGCGGTCACCAAGTCTGGAACCCTTGGTAAACATATAATAAGTGAAAGTACACTACAAATCAAAATATAATGCTATCATTTACAGTCCCAGACTTTATGCCTACCAAGTACTGAAAATCATCAGAAGAGGTGAAGGTCAAGATAGGATGTAGCTCTTATACACCCCCACCCCCGTGGCAGGGGCAAGTGTTTCCTTAGCAACTGACTGACCTGAGACCTTTGGATCATGTATGCATCGTAGCTGGACCCGTGGTACTTGGCCGTAATATCTGGGCTGTAGCAAGCATCACAAGTGCATGGTATATTCGAGCTCAGGGCCTGTTTCCTAGGTCTATAAACCTGTGGGAGAAAGCTACAATGGTTAGGTGCAGGAGGGGAAGGCGCAGAGTGCACAGGGAAGGAATTAGGAAAAATTAAAGGAGGAGGCTCATCTTGATTTTCTGTGGCCAAGTGGGTGAAAAACCCAGTGCAGAAGATGCACAGCCCCAAACAAAGAGGTCAGATGGAAGTGCAACCCCCGGGGCCAGCGCTAGCAAGGCATGCTGCTCTGTGGAATGACCCCAATGTCTGGCAGTGACTGGGACCCTTCCTCTGCAGGAGAAGGCGCCCAGGCATGGTGGTGCTCTCTCTCTTTCAGCAAGGCAAGCCCCGTGAGAAATGGACTCTGGTTCAGGGCCAAAGGATGCCTTTTCCTTCCTGAGGAGGGAGGGTTGGCTGGGCTTCCCTTCCACTCACCTTGTACCTGTGCTCAGCCCAGATCAGCCTAGCAGGCAGCGATCCAGTCCTGGGGCTGAAATCAATGTGGACACACTCTACCTGGTACAATGTGGCATTTGGAGAGTTTCAGAGCCACATGTGACCCAACCTAAGATGTGGCAGCCACCTTGTGAGGCCACAGACCATTGAGCCATAATATTTGTTGGCTTTTCATAAGAAGCTAGAATCTGAGTGAATATCTTTAACCATTGCTTCCTAAAGCCCCCAAGTTAGATAAAGAGGAGAAATAATGTCTGAAGATTTTAGGGATGATTTTATAATATGCTTCAGGTACAATTATTTCCACTTAAGTCACTTCCAGAAAACCCTATAGAAAGTAGAGGACTTTCTGCACAAATTAGGACTTTGTCCCTCCTTCCTTTTCCCTCAGAAGAAATATTGTGGCCTAGTGAGAAGGAAAAGACAGGATAATGGGATAAAGAGGTGATAAAAAGAATAATTCAACTGAATAGTGGCCGGGAGGTCTCCAATCATAGCCTGGCAGTGCCAGGGCTGGTAAGTGCTCCTCAGCCGAAAGGCCCAGGAGGAAATAGTTGAAGAACCAAAGTCAGAAGTATGTGAGAAAGAAATTCAAAGAACTGGTTGAGGGGAGTTTTTTATAGGGCCCAAAGAGTGAGCAAGACAAAAGACAACGAATAGAGAATGTGCCCAGAATTTAATTAGTAGTTTCTAGGATTTAGTCAGAAGTCATACAAAGTCCACGGGAAGGAAGAGAGCTGAGAGCTATTTCTGGGGACATGATGCTAATACAAAAGAAAGAAAACAGCACTGGTTGCAAACTACACAAGCCCAAGCACATGCACATCCACACAGAAAAGCAGTAAATGGTGTTCCAGTGGCAACTCGGGCAACTTCACGCCTACCTGTTTTTAGCTGTTTGAGCCTGCAGGATGGGCATGGGAAAATGAAGAGTAGCTAAACCCAGAGAAAGCACCCAAGGACCAAACCCAGCAAAACACACCTTCCGTGCAGGAGGCCCCACCTGCTGCTTTAACTGATGTACCAGTCGGTCTTTCTCCCGCTTGAGGGCCATGACTTCTTCCTGTGTCTTTTTCTTTTTGGAGGCAGACAATTCCAGCAAGGCAATGTTCGCATCTTTTTCACTGATTGCCGCAAGCAGTGCTTCCTGTCTGGTAAAATAAAGATTATTGTGGTAATTTTTATAAAGTGAAAAAAAAATAAGCATTTAGAATTGAAATCAGCAACAAAGTATTGTCTCAATGGGAAGGAATTATGGATAATGTTTAAGACAAACTACCTCCTTGACTCTGAATGGACAAAGTTGTATGAGTCAGAATCCCTGAGACCCCACAGACTGTGTGCCCTCTAAACAAGGCATCTTTCAGTGGCTTCATAGGTATATCTGCATATGAGAAATGAAGAGATTCAATATGACCATTCACTTCTAAAACATTTTCACCCATCTACCCATCTGTCCATCCAGTCATTCATCTATATGCCTAGCCATCCTTTCTTCCATCCATCTGTCCATCCATCCATCCATTCATTTGTTAGGTAAAGTTCTATGAACTCAAGACAACCCAGCAAAATCGGGCAGCAACTTCAACATCAAATATCGTTTCTTTTCCTGCAAGATTTTTTTTGAAGGCGGGCAGAGATATTTACTGAGGTTCCCTTTCCATTTCCAATGCAATTAGTGATTCTCCCTTGCCATTCCACAAAAAAACCACTCCTTCCTCAGTATTCTTTATCTCAGTAATCACAGCACCACCCACCAAGTAGCCTAAGCCTCAACTTAAAGTCTTCCTTGATTCCTTTCCTTCCTTCTCCACCCAGAGACAATCAACAACTTCAGTAGGTTTTACTCCAAAATACGTCCCTTATCTAAAGTTATCTACTGTCTAGGAAATAAATGTTTCCCAACAACCAGCATTTACTCACATAGATCATCCACTGGTCTCCCTGGTACAGAGGCCAAAGTAATCCGTAAAAACATTGTAAGTCTGGATTCCACCATCCTGTTCCATGAAAAATCCATTGCATCACTCATTAAACTTCAAATCCAGACCCTTTACTGATGTCTGCAACTCGTTACACCAACTGGCCCTAACCACCTCTGTGAGGTCATCTTTTTCCATTTCTCCTTCTTCAATCATTAGGCTCCAGCACATTCTGTTCTTGAGCTCTTTTTTCATCCTTGAAAATGTTACACTTGTTCTCACCTCATAAGCTTTGTCTCTGCCATTCCCTCTGACTAAAATGGCTTCACCTCATGCAGCTCCTTACCCTTCAGGTCTCAGCACAATGTATCCCCCTCAGAAAAGCCATAGCCAGGGGCCCCCCTGGCAGTCTTGCCACCTTTCCCCTTGTGACCAACGCTGCTGTCCTGTCACATTATACTTCTCTGTCCCCCGCCCCATAGAACTCTTCACTATTTGGAAGGATCTTAGACATTTATGATTTTTTCTCATCTGCCGTGCGTATCACCAATTTTCTAGCTTCTAGAGGAGCACTGAGCACAGAGTGGGGGTCAAAATTGTTTGTTCAAGGAATACAAAAATTCGCTTTATACTTTTCAAAAACTTTGAAGACACCAACATACACTTCCTCTCACTTAAAAAAAAATTACAATGTTTTGATTCCTGATTACACTCTGATCACTGCTTACTCAGTAAAGTGTTAAAGTTGCCTTCTCCCATTTTATAGTCCAATCATCTGGCAACATCTGTTGCAAATTTTAATCTGGAATTTTCCAGGACAATTATGAACTAGGAAATGACTCTCCTGGTGTGTTTCATTTAGCTCTTTCCACCGAGGGAAGTCTTGTCCCAGCTATTTGTGCCACTTTAGCAACAGTCTAGATCATTGAAAAGATCCTGCATTCCCAGAAAAACCTCAATATTGGGTACTTTTTTGCACACAAGTCCCAGGACTAAAACCTGGTCATGATCCTGTTTTGTCTTTCCTTAATCCCCACTGCCAGACCAGACCCTTTCCAGATGTTTGGACAATATGGTCATTATATGGATCTCAAATATTTCCCCTTTTCCCTGTAGGAATTTGTATGGACTTTTCTGGGCCCTGCTAATGCCAGGCAGTAGAAGCTTCTGACTGAGGCTCAGACATGTGAGCAGCGGAAATGTCAGGAAATATCTCCACTTTCCAGAGGAAAACCAGTGCAGGCTGGACTACCAAAGCAGCATTAATAGCCAGCCTCACAGAGCCTGTCTCTTTCTGGATAACATCTTGAGGCAATTGACTTACTTGTTGTTTATAGCCAATGCATATTTATGCATAAGACCAAGCTGAAGAGGCTGTATGAACTTCAAATAAGAGAACCCACTGATTACAATAGTTTACCTCACTTTGACCCAAATTAAGATGTCCAAGTGAAATTTTTCAATGGGAACAACTGAAAAAATCATTATGAGGAATATTGGGAGTTGACAGTAAATTATGCTACATCCCTATGATTCACTCTTTACAGCTGCATGCAGCCATGTAAAATGCTGTTGCAAAATAACTTAATAATATGTGAAAATAGTTATGTTTATCAAAAGACAATTCTTCTTGGGTCTCATACTTTGTATACTTTTTATGAGCATAGGCACTATCTACTTTTCTCACAATTTTTGAAGAATTCTTGTATAATATATAGCCTTGGAAGACAGAAGTAGTATCTCCCTTCAGATCAAAGAATCGTCATACTTACTGTCCTGTATAATATTGCCTCCTTCCAGACCAAAGGGCAGGAATGTTACTGCCCATTATAAAAGATTTGGGTTTCTTAAGCTTAGGGTTACTCTCCTTCGATGCCACCCACCAAAAGTATAACTATTTATCTGGCCCATCTGCCTTGCCTTTGTGGAAGCTGGGGAATGAAGAATTGACATAAGTATGCTGATGCTACTGTCTGCACCTTGAGCAATAAAGTCCTTTGTCTCTGATCTAAAAGCCTCTGGTCTGTGGCCTGCATCCACAAAACTGAAGCAGCCTAACCTGCTAGTGTGCCACAGGGAAAATCCCAGACCCTTCACAGTTCTTGACATGTAAATGTATGTACGCTAAGTTTCCAAAATATAAAATTAAATTCCTAGAAAAAACAAAAACAGGAAGGAAATACATCAAAATGTTAAAGGCATTCATTATCTCAAGGTGGTAGAATGGATAGGCTAGTTTCTATTTTCTGTACATAGCTTTCTGCATTATTCTTACCTTCCACACAGTATCATAAGAGTAAACACTAAAAAAATTGTAAATGAAGCTTTTCAGTTACCAAATAAACTACAGGAACATGCTTCAAACACTTGGGACATGTGAAATTTGCTCATTATCTCATCAAGGTATTTATGATTTCTCTGCCCCTCTCGCTCTTTATACACAGGTAAGTGCCCATACACATACTTTCACATATACACACGTCAGGTACAGTCTACATCCTCTCCCACTAGGACAACTGCAATAATCTTCTAGCTAGGCTTCCTATGTCTATTTTTATATCTCTATGTCTTATGGTCTTTTTTGACCCAATTTCCTCTTTCAAGTCAAAACTCAGAATTATAAAACTTTAGTAACAGCTAAATGTTACCGTCAATCTTGAGTGATCCTTCAAAATTCCCTTTCTCCTGTAATTCTCTAATTTAGTCTTTTCAGAATTTAATATGTATTTCTTAATAAATTAATTTCTATCAGTTTTCTGTCAGAGAATAACATATATTAATTCCTAATTCTTTACAAATGTTATCACTAAATACTGTCCCAAATCTAATGACATTTAAATTGTTTTTATAGAAGTATTTTTAAAACAGTCATTAATATTACTATAAATACAAAATATAATGAATTCTGTTCTTCATAACCTTTTCCTTATTGCATTTTTGCTTTGTTTTATTTTATTTTATTTATTTTTTTGTTTTTGGCTAACAAATCTATTTTATAAGTACTGGTATTATATAATGATAAAACTCAATAAAATTAGTGTAAGAAGGGTTAATATATGTTAAAAACCTCATTTAAATAATGACCATAATTAATGATAATATCTCCTAAAATACCTTGATTGAAATCTGCTTCAATAATTCCAGTCTATTTAAATCAAAGAATAATTGGCAGAAGATAATAAAAGTATATAAAACTAGAAAAAAAATGAACACTTCACACTTTAGGATACTTACAAAGATGCTCGAGATCTGGCCATGACTTGCTTGTACAGGAAAGCCAGGTAAAGCAAACCCTTTTTTTTTTTTTTTTTTTTTTTGTTAAAGGACAAGTAATAGAATAGGAGAGTATTCGCAACACATCTAAAAAGGGTTAATAGTTTGTTTTTTTTTAAAGGGGAAAATTTCTACAAACATTTAATCAAAAAATGGATAAAGAATACCAAAAAGTCATTTAAAGCTTTTTAAAAGTAATAGAAATAGGCAAGAAATACACAAAACCAGGTTTAGTTTCAACAAATACTAAAGTAACAAAATAATATGTCATTGTCACAATCAGATTAATAAGCATTAAAAATATTGGTAATATCAAGTATTGGCAACCGTGAAAGGAACCGGGTATTCATAGAAACTTTTTCTTCATCTTAAAGCAGTTGCTTTAGCATATTTTGCAGGGCTGGTTTGGTGGAGGTGTATTCTTTTAGCCTTCTTTTGTCTGGGAAACTCCTTATTTTGCCTCCATTTTCATTGAGAGCCTTGTGGGTAGAGCAGTCTTGGTTGCAGGCCTTTGCTTTTCATTCCTTGGAATATTTCCTGCCATTCCCTTCTGGCTTGCAGTGTTTCTGTTGCGAATCAGCTGCTAACCATCTTTGGGCTCCCTTGTATGTTACTACCTGTTTCTCCCTTGCTTCCTTTAGGATTCCCTATTTGTCTTTGATATTTGCCATTTTAATCATGTGTCTTGGAGTGGGCCTCACTGGGTTCCTCTTGAATGGGACCCTCTGTGCTTCCTGGACTTGTGTGACTTTTTCTCTCCTCCAATTAGGGAAGTTTTCCACCATGACTTTTTCAAACAGGTTCTCTATCCCTTCTTCATCCTCTTCTCCTTCTGGAATCCCTATTATACAGATATTATGTTTCAGGTTGTTCTGCATTTTCCTCAATGCCTCTTCATTCTTTTGGAGTCTTTTTTCATTTTCTTGCTCTTTTGGGGAGCTTTTTTCTACCTTACC